CTACAGACTGTGTGACTTGAGGGGCGTGGGGTGGAGGGGGGTGAGATGGGGAGGGGGAAGTGTGGTTACAATTGTGATCGCTTTCTTTTTTTCTTTCTCTTTTTTTTTCTTTTAAAAAAATGTTTTGGAGTTGGGTTTTTTGTTGTTGTTGTTTTTGTTTGTTTGTTTGGTTTTGTTTTTTTGTTCTGTTTTCTTTTTGTTTGATAAAAATAAACTTTTCTTTTCTTTTTTTGTTTTGAAACCCGGACTGCACTCGCATTCATACATCAAGCCTTTGCGTGTTGACCACGTAATAGAAAAAAAATCAGCAGCTACAGACTCTCATATATCAAAGCGATAAATAAAGGACAGCATAATTGAAGGAAACCCCCCCAAGAACAAACAAACAAACAAACAAACCCACAAACAAACAAACAAACAATAAAGATAAAAACAATAAAGAAATTAATAAAAACGAAAAAAAACAACAACTACCAAACTATGGTGATAAGTTAAGTGGTCCTCATAGCCAAATTGACATTTTATCCTCTTAATTTACTTTATTTTAATTTTTTTTTCAGTCCTGCGTCTGTGTCCTATTGGACAGGCCCCTAACTATAAATCTGTCCAATAAATGTTCCCTGGACACGGAAACGCTCACCAAATCTATAACTCTAGAGATAAGACAGGTCTGAAAGCTTGAACAGCGTTGGTTAGGTTAACCCTATCCGTACGTCGTGTTTTACTATCATATCCATACGACGTGGGGAACTCGGTGACTGTGCCACCACTTTCCAAAAAGGAAATTTACTCGTTAATCCGATCCGCACGCTTTGCATAGCAGTCTGTCAAAATGATTTTTTGGAGAAATACTGAAAGTTTCAAAGAGATCTTCGTACTAGAAGTATTCTGAAATATGAAGAACACAACCCCCGGGGGGTACAAAATGACTCCAGGGCGTACGGATAAGGTCAACACTAGACAATGTTGTTTTGCGATGTACACGGAGGGTGAGGGGGTCTCATGACCCATGGGAAGGAAGTAAGGGGTGCAAAAGGGTGGCTGTGGCTGAGGAGGTGGGTGCAGGTGATTGGGGACGGG